TGACTTGATTAACAGAAAATGCAGTGAAATGAGACGGTCGGCAGTTAGCCCAAATCCTTTCCCTGGCTTCGAGCCATTCGAGTGAATGTTTGAGGGCGAAGTGGGGCAGGCATCTCCTAGCTATATAGTAGTGTACGGCTTTCCCTTCGGACTCCGATGCTGTCGACGGTCCTTCAGCAGACAGAAAGTTTGGGTTCAGGTTTGATTTAAAAAAAAAAAAAAAAAAAAGGGGTTTTCCTTTTTTTTTATGATAGGGGTTTTACTATATTATTATGATTTTTTTTAAAAAAAGAAAAAAAAGGAAATTTTGTGTTCTGGGATGTTTCCTAACCCTTGCAGCATTGATACTAAATTATCTGCTAAAATTCATGCAGCAGGGTGGTGTACTGCCAGGGGTGATGCAGTCTCTGTGGGTAGCCTGTTACTGACAAAACCACAAACAGTAATACAGCGGTGTACTCGAGCACGTTTTAAAATAGAAGCTTAAGACAGAGTGAAGGAGGTTTAATTTTTACATGCATGCTCCTCTGTTATGCTGAAGAGAGACCATAGAACTTAAAACTTGTATTTTTCAGGGAAAAATTAATCAAATTTGTCAAAAAAATCACTTATTTGCACTTACTTAAATTATGCTTATTGATATGCACAGACAATGCAGATTTCACTAAAATAATTTGTTAAGAGCTAATAATAAATTAAAAATAAGCCTGCAGTCATGGTCTAAAAACTTCCTGAGTAAGAAACAAGTTATTTATTTGTGGTTCACATAGACTTTACGACAGAATTGCCAGATCAAGTTGCTAATATGATTGTTGAAAACTGCTACAGTGGTTTAGAAAAGCCAGTAGGTTAAAATTGTTGCCTGTGCTATTTCACTTTCCCTGAGGTGGCAACAGTCCCTAGTTTGTTATGGTTTGTAACTGAGATGGGCAGCTCTGGACTTGGTTCCTGCTTTGGTCAAGTTGTTTGTTTCTAAGCTTTTACTCACAAGTTAGGCAAACCATTTTTTTTCATGAAGTAAGTGACAAAGTTATGATGTGCTAATGAAGTTAGGATAAATTGCACTTACTAATTTTGTAAAAGGATACTTACATTTCCCTTCCTGTCTAAGAGGAAAAATTATGTTTGTATTTCATCATGTGTACGGCAGTGCATGATAGTTCATGACACTTTTTAAAATGTCCTTTATCTTAAATAGAGAAAACAAGGAAAATTTAGGCTTCAACACTTCTCTGTTGCTATTCTGCTTTTTTTTTTTTCTTGCTGCTAATTGGATTAAAAGCCATTTTGGTTACTATGGCATCCCGTGAGGAGATTACTGTCTGTGAAGATGAAGTAAGGTAAAAAAATCAGAACTGTGGTATGAGCAGGTTTGGAAAGATATCCACAGTTCCAGTGGTCACTTATGACTGTATCTTAACTTCAAGAATTACTGAAATGAAAGGATATCTTGCCAGATCTCCTCCTCTATGGGTGTTTGTGTGTGCAGAATTACATTTCTGAACAATGTAGGTAGTGTTCATGGGAAAGATTACAGACAAATCTGTTAAAACAGATAATAGCTAAACGGGTCATCCTGATTATTTTTGAAGTTTAGAAGGCTAAAACATTTTCTCATAGACCAAAATACTGTATTTTAATGCCTGCCAAGACATCATGGAACTGTCCAGAAGTGTCTGAATTCTAGGTATAATGTTGTAACCATACTGTTACCTGAAACTGAAGTTTTAGAGGTTAGATGGATGTATGTCTTTGTATGGTGTTTGTCAAAGTGAGTCTGTTTAACTGTCTGTTTCTATTTTGTGATATTTTTGTCATATTTGTATGTTTGAAAAACAGAAAATATAAGAAGTTCTGTAAGCTTATTCTTTCAGGTCTGATTTTTCATATGTAACAAGCAGCTGGCCCTGAAGTAGTAAAGCTTTGAAGTAATAGACATCAGTAATTGAACTCTTTCCATGACAACTAATTTACTTTGTTGGTGTTTCCATAGGTCTCGGTACAGCCACTTAGAGAAGATGACAGATTTGGTGGCTGTTTGGGAAGTAGCTTTAAGTGATGGTGTTCATAAGATTGAATTTGAACATGGGACCACTTCAGGAAAACGTGTTGTCTATGTTGATGGAAAGGTGAAATTGCTATGTGCTCAAAATTCACTATGATACAGATTATATAAGTGCACTTCCATCCAACAGGCATCAGAACAAACAAAAGACTAATAAATGCAAGTGAGGTATATTCAGCTGATTAACTTTACCTAATATAATGAACTGCATCATTCTTTTTTTCAGTTATAATTAAGGTGTGAGTATTCATGAAGTGCTTTGCTGTCCTCGGGCAGAGGCACTCTAGACATACAAAATATCATGTATTCATTCATTCTGAAATAATAGTTAAGTACTGAGCTGTTTCCCGAGTTCTAGTTGTGTGGTTTGTGTTTTGGTTTTTTTTTTATACTAAACCAGGCATTCAGGTTTATTAATTAATACCCATTGTCTTTGTTTTATTCTACAGGAAGAAATAAGAAAAGAATGGATGTTTAAATTAGTGGGTAAAGAAACATTCACTGTTGGAGCAGCCAAAACAAAAGCTACTATTAACATTGATGCAGTCAGTGGCTTTGCATATGAATATACTTTGGAAATCAATGGAAAGAGCCTCAAGAAGTATATGGAGAACAGGTCAAAAACAACCAATACTTGGATACTGAGCTTGGGTGGTATGGACTATAGAGTTGTTCTAGGTAAGTAAACATTGAATGACTTCATGTTGCTGCCTTTGAATAAACTTGTATGCATTTAATAACTGGTCATTAAGAGAAAGCACAGTTCAGTGGCTAGCACTGTTGCAGTGTAGAATCCTGGGTGGTCTGGAAGTTTGGAATTAGACGCCAAAGACAATCTGAAAAAATAATGGTGGTAGTACACCTGCGTCAGCCTGCTGTCAGTGTTCTGTTCTACAGTGGCATGGTCTGGATTTAAAAAAAGAAGAAGAAAAAAAAAGAGGTTGGAAGGAGTTATGGCTTCTGTATCCATAGAGCTGCCCTAGCAAGACAGTTCTCCAGGTGAAGCATGTTATAGAAGCGTTATCTGCCTTGTGCTCAAACCCGCTGTATGTGTAAGTTTGTTAACCAGGTAACCAGGCTTTCCTTCCGAAAATCATAAGCTTAAGTCAAAGAGTCTTTAATTGAAGAAGTGTGATGATGTTATGCTACTTTTTTTATGGATTAATCAGCATCCTTTTTTCTGCATCTCTTCTTAACTACAAATGTAATCTAAAAACTTTGGATGATGTTTTTTCACTTTCTTAATAGCAAGGCAATACATTTCTTCTTTTCTGCCCCCTGTTTCCCAAATATGTTACAAGCAGATGGGAGGAAGGGATCCCCTGAGAATTTGTCTGTGGCATCTAGTGGGAAAAATTCCACTTAGGTATTGCTGTATAGTTAGACCTGGAGACAAAAGATCTTGGGCTATGATTTCTTCTTAAGCCTCAGGACAGAATGATCTGCCCTAAGATGAAGGGAGGCAGGGAAGAAAGAAAATTTTAATACCGGAAACAGATTAGTCTCCTCACAATTGTCCCTATGCTTCCTTAAAAAGCAAGCAGTGTTCAGCTCTCTACTGGTGGACTGTGGATGACAGTGGCAGTAATGTGAATTCTAGGGCAAAGTAATTTAAGGAGGATGTGCTGGGAGAAGTAAAAGAATATTCTGTTTCAAATGGAAAAAAAAAATCTAAGATTGATACTTAAAGTGGTACTTGGGTTTTCAAGGAGATTTTAAGAATACAAACAGTTTGGTGGACATTAAAGTATGCTGCTTTTGAATTAAACCAACCTGGAAAAAATGTTAGAGCTTCATTGAATAAACACCACTCAAATAATAAGCAGAAATTACTTCATTTTTCTGTCTTCAAGTTTTTCAGTTTAAGAACGTCAGAATATCTCTGACAATGTTCAAAGCAACCCAGTGTTAATAGCCAGGACCGTGGAGAAGTAAAAATGTGTATTCACAGCAAAAGTTGTTTGCCCATTGATAACAGAGCCTCCCATCTCTCCAATATAAGAACAAACCCTGTAGCCCAGGTACTATAGCTAATTAGGAACGTCTTTGGGGAACTGAAAGTAAAATTCAACAGTAAATTTTTAAAATTCCTAGATCTTCTTGTCTGTAGGGGAAAAAAAATATCTTGTTCTTTCTACTTTTTGTTTTCTTTTTCCTTCACAGAAAAGGACACTATGGATGTGTGGTGCAACGGTCAAAAAATGGAAACAGCGGTACGTGACCATTTCCAAAGGCTTTTTGCAGGCTATGGCTAGGTAACCAAAGCTTAGCAAAATAAGCCAGAGAGAGGCATGTTACCTCATTTTATCACACGCCTAGAGAGCCAGTATGCTATTAGTCTGTTCCGAATGTCCTTCACTGTATTTTATAACTGACAGTATTTCAGTTAGGATGCCAAACATCTATCTGTTTATTAAAGATAAACTTTTGTTTACACTTTTTAGACAAGCAAAAAAAATCTTCTGGGTCAGTTGTCCAGGGTTTTTAGGGAGAAAACTTTCAGGGGAGTGGGAGGGACTTCAGTTTGATGCAGTGTAGAGCCCCCTCATCCAAACCTGCTCGTGTTAGTGGTGACTGAAAGTTGAACACATGTAGTCTGTTAACGACTCACAACTTTTTTCCATCTAGAGATGGTGGCTAACACTAGGGCTTCAGAGTCTCATTGGAACAAATGAAATCTTTTGTCTTTCTGTCACATCTGCATTAATTTTTAGAGCAGTTGACAGCTAGAAGACTTAATCCATTTGGTGTCTTTTTATATAGTGGTGGCTTTCAATATGCATACTATGTAGGTGTCCCCATCCTTGAAGGACGTGCTTTCTCATCAGAGCGTTGTCACTGGGATTGCTACTGCCACAACTAAGCCCCTGGATGAGCAAAAATTCTAAAATCAACAGTTTTGCTATACTTGAGAATAGGATCAAAAGATTCACCAAGTGTTTCTTTGGTAATCAGTGGAAGAAACATTGTCTCTCAGTGAATCAGAACTTCTGCTCTCTATGGTTCTCAGCCTTTTCTATAACGTAATAAATGCAGTAGGAGATATTCTTGCAAGCTACAAGTACAGGTTTTGTTGTCAAATTGTGCTCGCATTAGAGTGGCACACAGGTTTTTCTACTCTCCAAAAGATGATGACAAAAACATAGCTGTCCATGGCAAAATCCATAACAGGAAATTACTTAACTGCAGCGGGAGCTGTGTATCCAAAATATACAACTGTTATACTCAGTCTGGGGATCTCTTCATCGTTCTGTAAATCCATCCACCACTAAATACTTCATGTTTTACTGCTGCTTCAGTGTAGGTTTGTGTGGTACTTATTGGCTGTACTGCAGAACTCAGAAGGAAACTGTCTTTTCTATTTTTGTTTTGCTGACATGGCTCAACGACATTAATTCACAAACTCTAACTTTACCATTTCTGATCATGTGAAATTCTGCTTGTCATCTAATACTCAGAAATCTTTAACTGGACGCCTTGACAAAGCCCTGCATGAGATTCTGCAGCTTTGTTCAGCATTTGCGCTGTACTTGTTGCAGGTACCTATGGCTGCTCTAATCGTGGGAACTCTTAAGTGATCTTGACCTTGGAAACAGTCTAACGCACTCAAGCTTTTATTTTACTAAAATAGCACATGTCTGGTTTTATTCTTGTCTCCTTTCTCCCAGGGTGAATTTGTAGAAGATGGGACTGAAACTCACTTCAGTGTTGGTGATCACAGCTGTTGCATTAAGGCTGTCAGTAGCGGGAAACGAAAGGAAGGAATTATTCATACCCTTATTGTGGATGACAGGGAAATCCCAGAGGCTGTGGAGTAGCCTCTAGTTAACTGATTACTCTAGGACTAAGATCAGGAATTTCCAATTACTGTGGTAATTATTTTAATAAGTACTTCTTGGTACATCTAGTTTGTGCTGGGTTTATTTTCTAGTTTCTGTATATGAAATTATTCTTTTTGAGGACCAGATGAAAATAATTATATACAACCTCTTACATTATTGTTTTTTAAAAACCTATATATATATTGAATATATATCACTAAGCGCACAGAAGACTGTTGAACTTAAGTAGAAATTATATACTAGAAAAAAATCTTGCTATAATAAAATGGAAGATAAATATTCAGTAAGACTGAATCCTTATAAACTGTGGGTGTATATGGAGAGAGGAGGAAGCATGCGCTCAGCATTTGAGAAAGCTGTAAGAGTTTTCTCAGCAATTATTTTTCTTATTAAACTGACTACCAACGTTTTTCAGACGCAGTTAAGAAGAGTTACAAAGTTAATTAAAAAGTTATTAATGAAATACATGTTACCAGTACTTGTGTAAGAGTATTAAAATAATACTGAGCTATGAAAACTGTTCTTTATTCCGGGTAGGAGAAGAGATGTTACATTGTGGCCAAAAAAAAAAATGCCTCACGGTTTTCTGAAAACTGATACTTGTTAGAAATTGTTGCAGTAGTTCAGAAAGTCTGTACTGGGTTTTTTCAAAAAAGAAAACAGAAAAAAAACCAAACCAAAACAATTCCTGCTATGAAACTCATTTAAAAAAATGACATTCCTTGAAGCAAGCTGAAATAAGAGCTTATTCTTGTTCAATGCTGTCTAACCAACCTTAAATCTCCAGCTGTGTGTTTTCCTGGCAGTAATGTGTGAATCAAGAAACACAAGGAAAAATGGGACAGAAATAGAGGAGAAGAATTGATTGCTTAGATGGAAATTTTAAAATAGGAAAAGACTAATTCTGTTTTCAAACTTCCAGCATACTATCTAAAAGCAGCCTTGGGACTTCTGTGAGAACAACACTCTTATGCGTTAAGGTGGTTCTTACCAGTTCATGAGGGGTTTTCCCCATTTAACATTATGCTAGAGCATACTAGGCTCACATACTACAAAAGCTACCCTATTGCAACAATGTAGACATAGCTAATCTTAAAAATAATTTTAAAAAAACAAACAAAATATTAATATATTAATTTAAAGGTTTGTCTTGCAATGGTTAAAAAACCATTTTCCACTTGCAACCTCACTTAAGAGTTCAAAATTAGACTTTCATAACTTAATTTCTTTTGGACTTGTGAGTGGTTCCTAGGACTATGACTACTATCTTGGGAGGTGCAGGTGCAGTACAAATGTGCTGGGAATTCATTAACAAATTATTCTGAGAAGTTTTATAAATGCTAATTTCATCTGTGTGTTAGGGTTCAGACTGCTCTCTGTTAGCATAGTGCTTTACATGTGGATGAAATGCTTTTCATACGACATTGTTTTTTAATTGTTTTATGCAAGCCCTTCTTCTCACTTAATTACATTTTTAACCATAGGTGACTTTTCAATCTAGAAGCAGACTCAATATTGACAGACGGGCCTTTATTTCTGTATTATAGCACTGTGATAAGCTATTTAGGTGTTTAGTTAGGGCCATAACTGGTGGTTTTAAATGCTTCAGATTGGACAAATCTGGTTGTAGCTTTTAGTTTGGAGCAACAGATTTGTTTTAAACCCTGCTAACCTCAGACATAGTTTCAGGCTTTAGTACAGAAAGTTTCAAAGTACCTCAGAGCTGGACCCAATCCCCTTTTACATTGAAATGAGCATCATAGCTCTTAGGCTCTTCCATTTACTGGCCTCAGGCCACTATGAAAGCACTGTGGGGATACCTAGCTATACAAAGTTGACACTAATCTTTAAGAGATATTGGTGAAGATAAATTAATTGAAGAGCCATTTCAACCTGCAGCTTGAACCAGTTCTCTGCTATTTTGTAGCCTTTCAAAGAGCTTGAACACCACTGGGAAATCTGAAACTCAAATACGGTCCAAGTCATGTTCTTGAGACTATGGAAAAATAACAGGTTAGCTGATAGTGTCATTCATACTTTTTATTTTGACTACATGTATCTACTATGCTTGAAATATCTTGACTAATTAAAACTGTAACCGCAACTACTGTTAGAAATCATCACGTTTGTCATAACTATGTGTATTTAATAGCATGTCCCTAAGTGGGAAAGAGCTTTCACCTGATACATTCACCTATTTAAGTCAAAAGAAAATTTAAGAATCAAAGGCACAACCAAGATTTATTTGGTTTCGCTAACATATGCACTATCTCAGATTAAGAAAACGTAATGGAAGAATGACAGCCTACGCAAACATCAGGTGTATAGTCACGTGCTCAGAACACTTTAAGGCATAAAGTAAATGACCATATAAATGTGAAACTGTATTTTGTGATGCTTTCCCTTCTGTTTCTATTCACAGGTAATTTTGTTCTAATCTCCTTAAGGCATTGACTTACTTTTTTTGTTCATGGATATTTCAGAGTGCTTTGCACGAGGCACTTTGATCACAGCATGGTACTAAGTACAGCATCCTCTTAAAACCTAAGGACTAGACTTTGTCCTGAGGGGCTCTTCACAATAGCTATGGTTCTGATTAATTCTTACTGAGGATGCTCCTGGTTTCCGGAGAGGGCCATATACCTCTCCCTCACTTGGGAACAAGTCAACAAATATTGTGGAAGGGCCCCAACACTGTTGCAGATGACAAAGGTGTCAGGATTGTTTACATCATCTACTAAGCTGTCATATACCTTAGTGGCATCCCCCTCCACTGCCGGTGGTGTAATATAAGACGGCTTGCCTGTAGTGTATAAGCCTGTTAATACATCAGCCTCAAAGACGTACATTTTAGAGTCTGTTTCCCACATATCTTTACCCTCGATTAGGCTTTTTGGGTTCCTTTTAAAGTAGATGCCAGCTCCATATTTTTGCTCTGGAAAAAGAAAAAAAAATTTTCAGTGGTAGTCAGTACTAAGAGACTGTTTCTTGATTCAGTATTACATTTTATGTTACTGCTCAATGCGTGCCATCCTTTTGGAAGTAAATTTGCATTAAGTGGCTCTGATGCTAGCACTAACCTCCAATTGAAATCATGAGCAATGACAGCTGATGGCCATTCCGATTTAACTGCTACTGCAGGGATGTCCATTTGGATTTAACTGTTAGCCCAGCGATAGAAACATCAAGGTATAATGTATTTATTTAAATACTTCAGTCATTGTGCACTAGGGACTCTAATAAGCATGAAAAGGTAGGATTTTAATAATGCAAACTAGAAAAAAAAGCTTTGAGATTCAGGAGGAGAATGATGCGTAAAAATGCTATTACAGCATCACGTGGAAAAGTGCAAAGAAATTAAATTAGACCATCATCCTGTTTATTACTTTGAAAGTGTGAAAGTGTGCTGTGTGCATTGCATAGACAAGGAAAGGCAAATCTCCACTTTTCGAAGAGTTTATTTCCTGAAATCCCAATTCTGTATTTGACAAGCAAAATATCACACCCTTCAGCTACTGCAGGAGGAATTGCTAAATGCTTATCCTTTCCATTTCTGGAAACATCTGTCTACTACACTGTCTATTACAGTATTTCATAGACACCACAACTTTCTTCCTAAGCTTACTGTAGTTTGAGTGGCAGTCTGCTCAGTCAGATTATCTGCTGTCTCCGATCACACCCAAACTGAGCAGGGGGTTAGGCTAGATGACCTCAGAAGTACCTTCCAGCCTCAATTATTCTGTGATTCCTTTGAACATGTTTTAAAGCATCAAGCTGCAGAAGGCATGTTTGCAGCAAGTAAATAAGGACGTTGACTGTCTTTAAAGAGTGACACAACAAAATAAAACTTGGACATGGCTTTATGTGTATATTAACAATTCTGTCAACGGTGTCTCAGCCAGGCTAGGATCCGGGCTTATCCTCCCAGAGCCTTACTGACTCTACAGTATCAGGAAGAAAATCCATAAAAATCTTACTGTAGATAAAAAAGTAAGCTCATATGACTCTAAACGTGGGTAAGAAACAGTTCTTTTAAGAATGCTATTTTTTTTTGGATTTTAATCCAATTTTAGTAGTCAGTCACTGTTCATTTTGATTAAAGATACCAAAGCAAGTTGTTACCTGTCGGTGGAGAATACATCCTGTGAAATCCAGTTTGGCATACCGAGCTACAGAACTGAGCAGGAACATGCTGGTACAGCTTGTGGGTTATTTTGGAGGTACCTTGTTTTTCTTCTATTTTTTTTTTCATTTGTTGGAATGCAGCAGATAAAATAGAATTATGTATCTTTTCAATCTGTAACATAAATAATAGTGCAGTATAAGCAAATGGAGACCAATATCCATCAGTGCTCTTCTTCAGGCTATGTTCTTCAATGTAAGAACCTTTGATTTAGCTTGTATGCATTGACCATGTAAGTGATAAGGTATTTGAAGCATACAGCTGCTCCACAGAAAAAGAACCATGCCGCTGTCCCATGCCTCTCATTGAAATCGGTAGGAATATATCCCAGAGTATTGATTTCAAGTACTCCAGTTGTGCTGAACAGCTCAAGTATCAACCATATGTGAAAATAAGATGTATGGGTGCTTACAGCCTAATCTTGTAAAGAACTGCAAGCGTCCTGTAAGGCATGGAGAACCTCAGCTCTCATTGATTAAAACTTTACAGCTCTCGGGGGAGCAAAAAAGATCCACAGATAAGGGGCTTTTACTTTTACTTTAGCTTGTGTTTCGAGAGATTGGCTGCATGCAGCATAACACCACACAGAACATCAGGTGAATTGGCTACGCTGCAGCTCTCACTGGCGTACCCGACTCCACCAGCGGGCCAGTCACAATCCTAAGGCTAAAGTCAGAACTAGGGGCCTGCAAGGCCTCTTCTCCAGCAGCCTGCTCATGCCGAACTTCTGACTGTTCAGCTCAAAACAAGCAGATGCTGAAGCACAATCAAGCTTCTGCTCTCTTAAAAGTCATTTAACTGTGACCAATCCTCAGTGTAGCATTGTTTCAAATTCTGATGCAGCTTTTGCATTGAGACTCAATGAAGTCTTTAGTCCTGCAGATCAAGAAGCACTTGCTTTCTATCTAGTTGGTATTTGCTATTTCAATGTTAATCACCTTTCTTGTATGAAAGGCAGTTTGGCACGTGGCAGTCTAGTTTCCCGTTACCTGCTCTTACTGCTAAGCACAC